ATGTGGATTATATGACAATGTAGAAAAGGTCTGAGTATAAACTAATAGGAAAGTCTTTGTTTTCAGAGAGCTGCCAGGTTTGGCCAAGAACTATGTTATGCGGATGCTGCTTTTAGAACAGCCTCTTCCTCAGGCCGCTGTGGCATCATGGGTAAAGAAGGAATACACTAAGTAAGTTATTCTGGTTTCTAATCTTTTTCCATCCAAAGGCTCACTGTGCGTGACAAAATATTAAAACTACAGTCAATACCAGTTATTGTTAAGACCTGGATCTGCTTTCAACTAAAGTAAACCCATTGGATTTATGGGACTTATGCAAGCAGTTCAACAAGCCTGGTAGTGATGGTTGTTGAAAACTAGTCTAACTAAGGTATAATTATGTATATAATAGGAATTCTGGAAGTTTTAAATTCGAAACATTGACACATCTGTAAGGGGAAAGTGTTCCAAATTTGTGGAGACATTACTGGGGATGTGTCTCTTTGTTGAACCAGTCTTACACTAAAGATGCTTTTCCTAATATTTAGATGGTATCTCTTGACTTGTAAGCCTCCAAAATATACAACGCATCTNAGGTCAACACAACAACATCAATTTTTGGTAGTCCAGACAAGATGCACATACATTTATTATCTCTAGTATCCTGATCCGTTCCAGGTATTTGTCTTGTGAGCCACTTCTTCCTTCTGACTGTGATTACTTAGTTTGTCACTTGTTCTTTTGTCCCAGGGAACAGGAAGAGAGCTCAGATATCTTGCTGGGTCTGCGGCTGTGGCACAAGCAGTTGCTTCCAGGGGGTCTCCAAGGAATCGTCTTGAACCCTATATTCAAGGAAAACTTGCGCATTGCCCTGATGGGAGGGTAAGTGAGAGCAAAAAGGACAATTTTGGTCTGAGGAATCAAGGCAGAGGCTCAAAAAAGAGTTTGCTTTAACTCTAGCTTAGCCGTAATATTGTAACATTGCTGTCAAAACATGGTTGTTTATTTCAGCTTTTGGAGTCTAATTGGTTTTATCCAAGTTCACACAAGTGCAAAGTTTTCACCAGTTTTGATCTGTCTTTTTAAAGTTATAAAATGGTGTGGTAGCCTTTTAAAATCATTTTCATTATTTCAGTGCATTAAGTAGATTTTATTGTATGCTGTCTTGAGATTTTTAGATGGTTGGGTAACTAAGGTTGACATTGGCTCAAATGTGGTTGCAGCTATCCTGTGTTTTCTGTTTCTTGTCCTCTTTCTCCAGTGGTAAGCCGTGGTCTGATGACACTAGCCAATTAGGACCAGACAAGCATGCCCGGGATGTTCCATCTCTAGACAAATATGCTGAGGAAAGGTGGGAGGTGAGCTTTGTGTGTATGTGTGTGTTTGTCTTAGTATTCTGGCACTCAAGGCTGTGTATCACTGATTTCTAACAACATTTGAAACATAAATTCAACATGTTTCTTCATCTGTCTGTCTAGTACTTGGTGTAGGACATATCAGTTATAGCCTTTCGTGTCAAGGACCTCAGCTGTTATACTATGGGGCTTCTTTGAAGATAGTTCTGAAGCTTTAACAGGTCCAAAGATCAGCAGCTAGACTACTA